TAGTGTAGCCTTTGAATCTCTCCCAGGCTTCACAAATGGATTCAGACTGCTTTTGGGTAAAACTGGAGATTTCATTCCTAAGCCTTGCAGTTCTTGAATTTGAGAAGAACTTTGTTAAGAAGGCCTTCTTGCAATCGTCCCAAGATATGATGGAGCCAGCAGGTAACGTCTTTTCCCATTGGTGTGCTTTGTCTCCCAGTGAGAAGGGAAACAGGCGCAACTTGAAACTATCCTCACTAACACCGTTTATCTTGGTTAGGCCGCAGAGCCTGTCGAAGTTATCCAAGTGGTCTAAGGGATCTTCCAGAGGCAGACCATGGAACTTGTTTCCTTGAATCATCGAGATGAGACCACTTTTAATCTCGAAGTTGTTGTTTTGGACAGCAGGAGGCACAATTCCTTGCCTCTGATGGTGGTTTCTTGGTGCATCTCCAGCACCAATGTTTGCAGGCAGATTGTTGACATCTTGTTCATCAGCCATTCTGAAAGGATGGTTGTGTTCAAGGTCTGTAGTGTCTCTCCTTTCCCTTAGTTCTCTGTCAATACGGTCAATGTTATCGTTGAAAAGGAGGTTCTGGTTGCCTTTTGATCGAGTTTGCATACAGCAGGGTTGTACCTGGATCAAGAAGACAACAAGAAAAACAAAAAGTTAGTAACCTAAGTGAAAATTGAAATAGAACTTGATCTAAGCAAGTCTGAAATCTCAAATGTAACAAACAAACACCCAAATGGCAACGGCGCCAAATTGATAGTAAGATTTTCACTAAGATCAATTATCCTTAAATCACTATCATGTCATTGCAGTATTTAAGGTGTCAATCCAAATGGGTGTGATGCTAGCAATCAAGATGCAATCAGATTTCACAGAGTCAAGCCAAGCAATAACAGGTTTTGAGGTTGTTAACAGTTCCAGTGATCATGCAGAAAACAATAATTCTAACAGAAACAGATAACACACTCGATCACACAGTTTGATGCCAAGCACTGGATGTGGTCGAGTGCCAGGTCGAGTACCAAACAGAAACTGCAACAAATGTACTCGACTGCACAGTCCGTCTCCAAACCGCTGGGTGTGGTCGAGTACTTCAAGTGAAATAAGTAAAAATGCAAAAACTAAGCAACAAGTAACGAGATCAAGCAATCAATAGCGATGTTAACAAAGAAATCAATTGGAAGAGAAATTCCCGAGGATGGGGTAATCGAGTAGTTAAGTCTCCTTAATCTAACAGGTGGTTAACATGCTCAACAAACTATCCCTAGACAACAAGTTCAACAGCCAAATCAAAGTGCTACCGCAACAGAGATCCTCAAGCAAAGCTAGTCCCAGACTCAATCACCATTGACGAGAGCTAACCTAACAGGCATTACGAATCAACAAGTTAAAGCCAAAACGCTCCCTGTAACCAATACCTTGGTACAGAGCCACGAATCTATGGAATTAGTGGTTCAGACATTTCATCGAACACCTTTTGGGTGCGGAAATGTCTGGGCTCAGATTCCAGTTGATCAGAAAGCAATCAGCATTAAGAACAACTAATCCAGAAGGGATCTACCAATCAAACTCAACCACCTAGCAGATCAAGGATTCTAAACTACTCTAACCCATCCTCAAGAACCCTAATCACTACTCAAAATTCATAACCAAGAACACAAACCCAGAAACACATAAAAACTTCATAATAGCAAGATCTCAACAAGATGAACAACTTTGTAGAAGAAATCAAAAGCAAATACTCAATAGATTAAGAGAAATCTGGATTACAAATATGAAGAAAGCACTAATTGTTCTGCAGAATAAAACTTAGACAGAATAAAACTTAGTCTGAAAATTATGAGAAACAACCTATTTATAGCAAATACTAGGAAACCCTAAATCACAAGACGACAAAGTATTAAGGCGGTTTACGGAGACATTCGGCTTCGTGCAATCGAGTGAAGAGGTCGAGCAAAGCTGGCTCCTTTGCGGTTTCTTGATCTGGTCGTGATGCGATCGAGTGACTAGGTCGAGTATGCACTCGAGTCCCGCTTCATCTTCTTCTCTTCCTTATGCTCAGTGTCTGGTTTAGTTGGGATCTTAGAAGCCTCTGAAGCGTGCAGTCGAGTGCTTGGTCGAGTAAGTTGGTGGAGGATACTCGACTGCGTGCTCGAGTCGTGATCTGGAGTCGTGGTCTACTTGGTGAAGGAGAGGGTACTCGACCATGAGGTCGAGTGGTAGGTCGAGTTGGTGAAGGAGAGAGTACTCGACTTGGTGATCGACTTGGTGATCGACTTGGTGCTCGACTTGGTGGTGGTCGAGTGCATTTGGAAGGTCATGATGATGGTGCTCGACCTCGTGTTCGAGCGTACTGATGGGTTCTGGTCCACTTCTTCCAATTTGCTCACCAACAGCTCCAAATCACCTGAAAACAACTCAAATATGCAACATGCATGCAAAACTATCCTAATCATGCAAAGTGATGACAAATGATGAAGAATGGTATGAAACAATGACGAAATGATGATAAAGTGATGCTAAATGGATGCTCAAAACAAGTAAAATATAGACATATCATCGGGTTCACGAGCTTGCTGACAGACCCCGAGCAGACTACGGGCGTTCCCCGAGGCAACCAATGCAGTTTGACCCGAGGTGAATGGCAGTTTGTACCGAGGCGAATGGCAGTTTGTACCGAGGCGAATGGTAGTTTGTACCGAGGCGAATGGTTCGCTTCGCCGAGGTGACTTCAGAAGTTCCCTGAGGCGTTCTAAGTTCGGCTCGGTGCTATGGGATGAAATCCGACCCCAACAGCCGTTAATCGAGGAGAATGTTCTTGAACCAAACGAACATCCCGAACCAGAACCACGAGTATTTTACAAGGTTGACCAAATTCCGGCTAAAGACTGGGGGGCTGACTGGAGGGAGCCAATAAAGCACTACATCATGACAGGCGAGCTCCCAAAGAATAAGTGGCAGGCCAGGAAAATGAAAATCGTTAGCGCGAAATTTTGTCTATCAAAGGATGCATTATATAAACGAGGTGTCAGCGACCCTTACCTATTATGCATTTTTGGGCCCGAAGTCGAAATCGTCATGAGCGAAGTGCATGAAGGATTATGTGGGAGTCATTCATCAGGAAGAGCTATGGCTTTTAAAGTTAAAAGAATGGGATACTATTGGCCCACTATGATCACGGATTGTGTTAAATTTGCCCAAAGATGTAAACGCTGCCAACTCCATGCACCATTGATCCATCAATCTTCGGAGTTATTCTCTTCCATCTCCGCCCCGTACCCGTTTATCAGATGGTCAATGGACATCATTGGACCATTGCACAGATCAACTCGAGGTGTACAATACCTTTTGGTCTTGACGGACTACTTTTCGAAATGGATTGAAGCTGAGGCATATGTTGCCATCAAGGATTCGGCGGTGAAGACTTTCATTTGGAAGAATATTATATGTCGACATGGAGTTTCGTATGAAATAGTCATCGATAACGGGCCATAATTCATTTCACAAGAGTTTGATGCCTTTTGTGCGGAATGGGGAATCAAAGTCAGTTACTCTACTCCACGATATCCGCAAGAAAACGGTCAAGCTGAAGCCGCGAACAAGACGATATTGAGCAATCTCAAGAAACGTTTGAATCATCTAAAGGGAGGATGGTATGAAGAACTCCAACCCGTCCTATGGTCCTATCGTACAACCCCTAGGCGACCTATCGGAGAAACTCCATTCTCTTTGGTTTATGGCATGGAGGCAGTAGTACCAGCTGAACTCAACGTGCCCAGACTTCGCCGAACAGAAGCACCATTAAATGAGGAAGAAAATTCAGCAATGCTTAATGATTCACTAGATACCATAAATGAAAGGCGTGATCAAGCTTTGATTCGGATTCAGAACTACCAGCAGGCAGCAGCCCGATATTACAACTCTAAAGTCAAAAGTAGGCCGTTCTTCGTGGGAGATTATGTGTTAAGGCGCGTCTTTGACAATAAAAAAGAAGAAGGTGCCGGTAAAATTGGTATTAATTGGGAAGGACCTTACATTAGTACTGAAGTGGTTCGGAACGGTGTTTATAGATTGAAAGACTTAGAAGACAGGCCAGTCAAGCGACCTTGGAATGTGATCAACCTAAAGAAGTTTTATGTTTAAAGCTACATGCATTTTTATGTACATGAACTACGGTGTGGCTTGATCCCGAAATGGGTACGTAGGCAGCTCGGAAACGAGTTCAGCTATTAATAAAAATTTTTGTTTTATTTCTTTATTAAAGGAAAAGGTTCGACTGAGCGAACAAGTGAAGCAAATAAAGGTTCGGCTATGCGAACATACAAGAGAATGGAAATAGAGCGTTTATTCAAAAAAAAAAAATGGAATGTCCCTCATCGTACACTTCGGGTTATGGAGATCTTGTTGACGAGCAGAACACTTCAACTCCTTGACCAGCAAGGTCAAGGATTGGCTTCATGCAGTCCGGAATTCGAGCGAAGTCAGAGATTCCAAGCTCGATCCATTCTCCAGGGTGAGATTCAAGGACGTGAAGATCTCTTGATACCGTAGTAAGCCTGCGTTGCATCCGGTTAATCCTCTTCCGGAGTCTCCTTTTTTCCAACGTAAGCTTCCGATGTTGAAGCGCAAGTGCATCTATGAATGCCATCGCTGTTCCTTGGTCTCTGATAGAGAGATCCCTGATCAAAGCGCATGGAGCTCGAATCTGGGATCTGAAGATGCCGCGAGGTGGAAAAGGCCGCCTATTTGGCTCATTTGGAGCATCTTCGTTTATCATTCCAATCCTGGAGAAGTCGGACATAGATTCTGAACATCGAAGGTTAAATTCCATACCTACTAAAATGAAAAAGAGTGGTGAGGCGAAAAGAGAAGTTGAGACTATAATTTATAGGAATGTCATATTCTTGGTAAGCTGTGGATTCTATCCTAAGAATGGAATGATTCGCGGAGAGATTTATGCCCTTAAACCGATCCTGCATTAAAAGTAAGTGAAGAAGTTAGAGAACATTTATGGAAGAGGCTCAGGAACAGGCTCCTTCATCGCCGGTTTAGTTTTCGAAGTGGACGCCTTGTTCTTGGCATCCACTTCGGGACGATCCCGAACGCGTTTCCGACTGGTACTGGCCTCCTCTTCGTCTTCTTCCTCGCTATCAGATGGAACGGTATGGACCGGAGCATTCACAGGAACCGGAACTCCTTTAGCACGGAGATACATCTGAAGCATCTTCGGGATCTCAGCAACAGAATCGAAGTTCCGCCATTCCCATTGAAAGAGATCACTTTCCAGAGCCCTTATCTTCCTCTCTACCCGAGCAATGCGAGCCTCGAGTGTTTGCCTTTTGAGACCTAGCCGCTGCCTTTCCTCACACAAGCGACGGTGTTTGTCGACGACCTAGCATAAAGATGAATGAATAAGATGAAACAAAAAGTTTTTAATCAAAGACGACAGATATTAACCTTGTCAATAAAGTCGCAAGCCTCTTTCTTCTCCTTTGAAGGAAAGTGAAAGACGGCGTGAGGGAAAAGAACACCGGCCGGTTCAAAGCCGTCGCCGGACAAGAAGAGTGGGCTGCCGGGATCAATGCGGGCTACGTTTTCGTTTTCCATTAATGTGGTGTTATGAAGTTTCTTGAGGAAAGATCAAAGGCAAACAAACTCTTATTTATAATAAGGTTAGAGTTTGTCTTGGGAATGAAAATTCAATAATAGTGGCGTGCCCAAATGGTTTAAACCATTTTTGGAAAATCGAGAAAAGACAATTATTGCATTAAAGACGAGCCGCTTTTCCTACTTTCAAGAAATAAGAAGGGAAAGAGCAACCGTCGCATTAACTACAAAAGTTTCTAAGGCCCAAGCCCAATAAATTTACCGAGTTGACTAAACCCGAAGTGGGGAGCTCGCTTTAAGCCGAGCTCAGTTCTCGCATTCTTAAGAGAAAGGTCTGATCAGCCTAAAAATCTCAAAAGCATAACCACAAGGCTACAAAGGGTTAAAAGCGGATTTTGCAAACCCGCACATAATTTTAACAAAACCCCCTTGGGGTCAAAACCTAGAAAGGTTTAAAAGCCTCCTCAGGCAAATATCTTGTTCAAAAAAAATAATAAAGCCTCCTTAGGCAAAAACAAGTTCGAAATTAAGTTTTAAAATAAATGGGACAATTCCCAATTTAAAGTGGACGCAGCCACTACGGAATAACAGCCACCTCGGACTCCGGCTCGGTAGTCGAAGTTTCATTCGCCTCCTTGGCTGGTGCTTGGTCAGATGGGGCTCCTGGTCCGCCCTCCACAGTAAAACCATCCTCCAGGGTGACCGCCGGTGCCACAGGAACTTCGGGTGGGATGACATCTTCCGTCTCACTTGAGCCTGGGAAGGACAGTTCCAGTCAATTTAAAAAAAAAAACATAAGGTAGTAAGTGTCAGGAGCCAAGCGTTACCTGCCCAGTCTAGACCCGATTCACTTATAGGAGGCGATTCAGTGAAGAATTCCTCGAAGAGAAATCTGTATCATGGATTTGATCCAAAAGAATCAGGTTGCTCTCGTGCTCCTTGATGTCTGATTCCAAATCTGACCTAGCTTTCTCGGTCTGCATGAAGCGGATGGCCCCTTGGATCAACTCCATCCCGCGTCCCTTAACCTCCTTTCTGGCTTTCGATGCCGACCTTGCCAACTCGGAATCACGCAATTTGGCAATCACCTTGTACTTCGCGTTAAGCTCAATAAGCTGGTTGTTCAGGGTATCGGCGGTTGATTCGGATTCATGAAGTCTACCCTGAACACCAGAAAGTTCATCCTGGAGTTTGTAATTCCGGTCATACTGGTCCTGCAGCTCCCCCTTTATCTTCGCAAGCTCAGATGTTAGACTGTCGACCTTGTCTTCCAGATCGTGCTTGGAGCCGGTAGAAGAGCTTAGTTCAGCCTCAAGAGCAGAAAGCTTTTTCTTCCACGCGTCAATCTCCTTTTCCCGACCAATGACCAGCCCCTCATAATGTTCAATCATGTCATTAAGCTCACCGATAGCCTGGCACTATGCATAAAACCGGGATGGTGAGTCATTTCGATGAACGGCAGCACAATTGGAAAAATAAAGTGGAACTAACCCGGGATGAATGATGAGCATGAAGCAAATAGCGCTCACGAATCGCAGGGCGCCACTTGTTGAAGTCTGGCAAGATCGAACCCGATCGGGTCTTGAAGCATCGAAAGACGCTGCCTTCTTTCTCCATAGCTGCGAAGAAGGAAGAGTTGTAAAAATTGGAATCTGAATAGAGACAGGAACTTTTAAGTATGTGTAAATCACCAAACCTTAAAGCGATTTGACTTGAGGGACAAGAGCAGGCTTTAACCTCGAGGAAGCATCTCGAGATTCAGAATCTCCCTTTTTAGGAGATGCGCTCCGGACAGTCTTTTCGCTGTCAGGCTGGGAAGAAGAAGACATATCAACCGGTCGAGGAGGACCCATTGGTTCAGTAGGAGGGGATGATCGAGGTGAACGGTCAGTCCGGGCCCTTGACTTCTCCCTTCGCGGGGAAGAATCACTACAAGAGGACTTGTCTCTCTTCCTGCGAACCAAGTTCTTAAGAGGTTCATTGCTAAAATCATCTCGGAAAGGACGAGGTGAATTACGGCGAGGAGATCGGTCCCTCCGAGGAGAACGTGCGTCACGACGATCGCGACGAGGAGTTAATCTGAAAGAAGCGACAGATCTGGCTCCTTCAGAGCTGCCATCATCAACCAGCAGGGTCCTACTGTAGTCCTTCTTATCTATAGAAGCCGCAAGAAACTCTTTCTTCTCCTCACAAGCCTCAGCTATCGGCTTGGAGAGCACCTTACGCTTGGCCGCAAGGGCCCGAGATGACATCCCCTGAGTTGAGGGAGGAGGCGGAAGTTGGTGAAGTTGACCTGGGGGACTCATCCTGAGCCTGTGGTTGGCTTCTAAAAATCGTTCAAGAGTGAAAGAATTCCAAAGGGTTTCCCCTTCGAGAATTATTTTGAAGAATTCAACGAATGCGTTAGATGGGAGAGTCGGAGCGACGAAAGCTGCGAAATGAAACAACGGTTTTAGTCAATAAAGATAATAAAACAACCGGGAAAGATATGGGCGACCTAATCTCTACCAGGTTTCGCAGACCACTTCGAAGGGAGAAAATCTGCAAGATTTCTAATCGAAGCGGGAGTTTTCTTAATCAGAAACCAAGGATGGTGCCAATTTTCATCCTTGTTCGGAAGATGCGAAATGATGTTCTTGTTGGCGTTTGGATATGCTGAGAAATACCCCGTTTTCTTCGATGAACTTCTCACGCTTAGAAGCTCATTTAGCTCAGTGACTCCGATAACGTATCCGGCCTCCGCCGCGATTGTTATAATTCCAAGGATAGTACGAAGAAGATTGGGGGTTAATTGAGGAAGAGCGATTTCAAGAGCCGCTAGGTATCGAACTAGGGCTTCGGGAAGGGGAAAAGTCAGCCCGCAACCTTTAAAATAAATCTCGTATACACAGAAGTAGCCGTCGCGATGGCTTTCTGGAGACTCCGTGGGATCAGCTATCTGCGCCTCCGCCATAATTCCCGGCGGAATTCGGCAGAGTTCCTTCAATCGTTCAAGGGATTGAAGGGTGCAGGTGGATCTATAGTGCGGACCGGCAATATCATTAGGGCGGGTGCACTCGTCATTACTAGAACGCCTCTCATCAAAAGACGGAGACTCGGGTCTATCGGAATCAAAAGTCATCGGGAAGAATGAAAAACTCAAGTTCCAGGAAAAAGAAAAATTCGGCGAGAGAAGCAGAAGGAGTTTTAACCACGAAGAACAAGAGTAAAAGTAATAATGAAAAAGAAGGTTACCTCAGCTAGGTGATAATGATGGAACCGTCTTGAGAATCGTGGAAGAAGTGGGAAGGTTTTTTCCCACTTTAATAGTAAATAATTAATATACGGTCATGATGGCGACAGATGTCACGCGACTAAATATGGGTAGCGCCGAAATTAAAGGACTGATGAGATCTTGGCGGGAAATCAGAAGATTCCCCGGAACGCAATCTTTGGTCATTAAAGCATTTAAAGTCCTCCGAATTGGAATAGCACTTCGAAGAACTTGGGGGGCTAATTGTTGGTGTCGGATCCCGCACCAGAGGTCCGGGACCAACCAAAGATTGCCACGTAGTCAGGATAACGGCCCATAAGGGATAAAGCCCATTAGACCCATAAGTCAAAGGAACAGTCGAAGTGGTTGTCACCTCGAGAAGAATACGAAGTTACTTCACCTCGGCACGAGTCCGGAGCCAAAGTCACGTTTAAGTCGGTCCAAGGACATTTGGGCCAAAAGATGAGGCCCATAAAGATCGGAGTCAACTCAAATTCAAACGTTGAGCATTAAAAAGTCAAAGATCAAAACGGACACATTTAAGAGAGAATAATTGTACTTAATTAGCCAATTAAATGTTGTTTTTGTTTGTATAAATATAAGGGCCAATGGCCATGTAAGGGGGATCTCTCTCTCGAGTAAGAAATACTACAGCAATTCTTGTAACAATTCATAAGCTTTTTGCATATTTATTTTTGTCCCTCAAGAGTAATCTTTCCTACTTAATAAAAATACTTGAGTGTGCGAATCCGACATCTACAATATTGTCATTGCAAGCACTACAGAGACAGCTGCTACTCAACTGACTAATGCTCTCAAGGAAAGTTTCAGATTGAGAGAACTTGGTCCTTTAAAATATTTTTTGGGCTTGGAAGTTGCTCATAATTCAGAAGGTATTTCTCTTTGTCAAAGGAAGTATGCCTTGGAATTACTTACTTCCATTGGAATGCTGAATTTTCAACCTTCTTCTATTCATATGGTCCCTAATCTCCATTTATCCAAGAGTGATGGTGACTTGTTGGAAGACAGGGAGTATTATCGCAGTCTTGTGGGTCGTCTCATGTACCTCACTATAACACGCCCTGATATCAAAGGTACAGTGGGAAAGAGACTCTTTTATTCTGCTGATCATGATCTCACACTCAAGGGTTTTGCAGACTCTGACTGGGCATCTTGCCAAGACAGTAGAAAATCTACCACTGGTTTCACAATATTTTTGGGTTCCTCGTTGATCTCTTGGCGTTCTAAGAAGCAACCTACAGTTTCACAAACATCTACAGAAGCTGAGTACCGTGCTCTTGCTCTTGCATCCTGTGAAATGGTTTGGCTGACTACTCTGCTCTCAGACTTGCGGATACGTATTCCTATTCCTATCCTCTTCTCTCACAGTACCAGCTCTTTACATTGCTTCTAACCTTGTGTTTCATGAGCGTACCAAACATATCGAGGTAGATTGTCACACAGTCAGAGAAAAGTTAGAGAAAGGTATTATCATGATGCTCCATGTTCGGACTGAAGATCAGGTTTCAGACATCCTCACCAAAGCTTTGTTTCCTCATCAGTTTGTTCATTAAAGTCCAAGATGAGTCTTCATAACATATTCTGCTCATCTTGAGGAGGACTATTGGAGTAAATGTCCGGTTTAGCTTAATTAGTTGGTTTAACTCGGTACAAATAGATAACCATATGTGTATATAATCCAACACTTGTACATCGTGTTTACTAAGAAATGAAAAGGAACCTTTCATAACAAACTCTTCTTTCTTCATCTACAATCTCTCTCTGTAGATCGTAATAACAACTTATCAGTACACGAAAGAAACTTGATGACAATAATTCCACGGCTGAAAATCACATATGTGTAAATGATCTATATGATCCTAACAAACACCATGGGAAAATGAGATAGATGGAATGTGGTATATAATTTCTTAATTGTATATATTGGTAAAATTGGGAATAATATTATTGAACACTAAAAAAAACTCTGACTTTGGTATATTGAGAGAGAATTGTGAGAGTGGCAAAACAGTAAAAACGCTAAATTGTAATAATTTTACTTATTTTATTGTCTTTAAATTAAAGTGGATTACATTTCATTTGATTTGGACCCGAAAACTTGAACTAGAGCATCAACAAATTCATTGCTTTCATGTTCTCACTGCATTTTTAGCCTCTTATTAGCCTAAATTATTGTCTAAATTTTAAACATCTTTGATAACATATAACATATAACACCACATAGGGACATAATTTTACAATTGTTTTTGACTTTTGATTTATTGATAAAGCCTCAGGCAAATTAAAAAGGAAAAAAACGAAAGAAGTTCTACTTGTCTCCATATTCCTCTTTTTATTTTCTTTGCCTATCATATTACACAAAAACAAAACAAAACAATACACCAAATCACCATTTCCTTTACTTCACATAAAAAAACAAACAAAAGAAAGTATACTCTTTGCTCGGTTACGAAATTACCTTATCGTCCTTTAGGATTTACAATCTGAGAAAATATTCCACTGTTTTCTTCAGATGACAAGTCATCACCCAAGTCACTTTCTCCGGCGCCGATGTTCACCGCCACACCTCCTCCTCCACCTAAATCAACGGAACCACCGCCATGGCTCGGTGTTCGGTGACGTGACCCATCAGCAGTTTCTTGTAACTGAAGTGCAAATTCAAGATTCCACAAAACATCTCCCATCGTTGGCCGATCTAATCCACTATCAGATAAACACTTCTCCGCCGTATCTGCAAATTTCTTCAAACACTCTGGATTAATCTTTCCTTTAAGATTAGGATCAATAATGTCTTCTAAAGTCCCTTTACGTTTACAATTCATAGCCCAATCTCCAAGACTAACTTGTTCTTTAGATAAACTAGGGTTTAAAGCTGGTCTAGCGCATAAAACCTCGAAAAGAACAACTCCAAATGAATACACATCTGACTTCTCAGTTAACTGTTGTCTTCTGAAATATTCTGGATCCAAGTAACCGAAACTTCCTTTAACAACGGTTGTGACATGACCTCCGTTCATGTTTGGTCCTGTTTTGGACAATCCAAAGTCTGAAACTTTAGCAACCCAATTCTCATCTAGTAAGATGTTAGTTGTTTTCACGTCACGGTGTATGATTGTGTACTTTGCTCCAGTGTGTAGGTAATGTAATCCTCTTGCAGCTCCAATGGCGATTTCGAGTCTTCTTTTCCAAGTTAACTGAGGTCTCTTTGTGTTGTAAAGATGTTCTCTGAGTGTTCCAAGAGACATGTAATCGTATATTAGACACATTTCCCCACCTTCATCGCAGTATCCGATTAAAGAGACTAAGTGTTTGTGTCTTAATCTTGAGAGAAGTTCAATTTCCGTCTCGAATTCGTTGAGCCCTTGTTCTGAATTAGGGTTAGACTTCTTGATTGCTACTTTTGTGCCTCCATCTATAACTCCTTTGTAAACCTTACCAAACCCTCCTACTCCTATTACGTTTGACTCATCAAAGTTATGAGTTCCGTGTTTTATTTCCGACAATGAAAATCTTCGACATAAACCCGCTGCAAGATTCGATAGATGGCTTCCGTTGTTGCTCTTACCGGATATTGTAGATTTTGTTGCAGATGTGTGGGAGTTTCCATATATAGGAAGCCAACTCGATGTGTGAGATTCGCTGCCCGAAAATTTTTGTTTTCTTTGGTACATTGTGAAACACAATGCGCAAAGTAAAACCGTTGCTACTCCTCCAGCGGAACCAATGACGAAAGCTGTGATTCTTTTGTTACCTTGAAATTCCTTTTTAACATCTTCGTTAGCTTGCATAGGCGATGGCTTCGGGTTTGGACCGGCAAGGTTCTTCATTGTGTCCATCTTGAAAATCTCCAGCCCGTTAAGCTGTGCATCGTAATATTCCGGTTTACCAAATGTTGATGGCGTCATTTGAAGCGAAATCTCCTCACCTCCTCCTCCGGTGTTAGCATCAACATATATCGCGTAATCTTTGTAAGTTGGGACACCTTTCCCACCTGACCAAGCGAGTATATCTGCGGGGTTTGTATCCCCTTGCGCGGTTCTGTTGTTGATGAAAATGTTGAAAACTTTCTGGTTGATTTTAGAAAGCTGGAATTCACAGAAATGGAGCCTCATGATATAGGTGAAATTAGTGTCAACTTGAAACATCCAAGTAAGATTTGATTTCATGTTGATATCTCCGTTTGGCCCTTGTGATCGAGCTGTTTTATAAACATCAGCTGGAGCGGTAGAAACCGGCATTTTCTGATAATCGATCCTGAAATTGTTGCTTGCTTGCAAGGTAACACCGAGACCTGCGCTGAATATATAAGGCGCGTCATTGTACCAAGTTCTGGTTAATCCACCGGAGTCTTGGCTTCCAGGAATATCCTGCCCACCAACATTAAGCCTAAACATCGTCTGAAGATTCGCGGTCTTAGTATCTGATGTCTGGTCTGAGAATCCAACAAGAGAAGCTGTATCAAACAGTTCTGGCATCTGAATGACCTCAATACCATTTATGAAAGCAAAAGCTTTTGGGTGTTTATCCGAAGGAGTAAATGTAATGCTCAAAACATCTTTTTCGGATGGTGCAAGAGAATATTCTCTCACGAGGTAAGCCTGCGTCAAGGCTTGACATGTGATAGCTGCACTAAAATTGCTGAGAAGGGTAACATCGTTAGCCGCCACGGAGAAATAAGA